ACAACAAGAGATGTCGTTTTATATATTAACCTCTGTTATTTCAATTTCGATTAATTTCCCTGAAGAAGTTTGGACCAGATTGCCGAACGAAACGTAGGAATTACTCATTTCAATCTCGCTGAGAGTTTACAAATCAAATTTTTCACAAGTGTTTATTATTATTGGTCATTTCGGTTCTAAGTGGAAAGAAGGGTTCAGAAGACCGCCCTCATTTTACTCGGTTCGCTTCAGTTTTCTTTACCTGGCTGAACGTTTGGCCGCAAACTTTCATTTTCTCCGCATACTCAGACGCCGAAGTCTTCATTCCCCACTTGGGTTTTACTTGAGGGTCTATCTAGAGCATGATGTCACTCAACAGGTTTTACTTCCTAAAAGTGTATGCAATACACCTCCGTTTCCTTCAGCGTATTTGTTTGGAAATGGATTCTTAGTTGGTTTGTCTCCAGAGTTCTTTGTTGCTAATGCTTTCTGCAATGACTGTTTGATCTTCGATATGGAGGGAAGACAGCTGGTTGTTGAAAATAATCATTTTGGTGCCATGAGGACTAATTCTCTGAACCACACAAAAATCACTGATTGATTCGAGATTCTGTTCAACAGCTGAATCTTTCTTCTTATTCTGAGTGCATTAGACTTCCACACTGATTGCAGAGTAATAAAAGTCTACCATGCTTTTCCGATTCTTGCTTTGTGGCGTCTGTAAAGTGCTGACTAATTACATCAGTCTAAGAATCTGTGACTGTATCAGATAACCTAACCAACACAAATATATTGGTTTCAGGATTTTCATCATGAGCTGACCTTAGTTAGAGAACCATTGGAAAACCTGAGAGTACTGGACAACTGTTTCTTCCTAGTTTGAGATTCTTCAGCAGTACACACCCACCGGGATTCGAACCCAGGACCTTCTGGTTACAAGGCGAGCTCCTATACCATTAAGCCACTGGGACCCGATCCAATGGCCAGTCCATGAATTCTAACTTCTGCCAATTCACGACATAGCGCGACCCCTAGCCAATGTCTTGTGCGAGTATTTGTCCTCACACCCAACCTGCTGCACCCTACTGGTCACGACTTCTCACTAGAACCCCAGGGGTGTGTACTACTAAAGAGTCCCAAACTAGGACGAAACAGCTGTCCAGTACTCCCAGGTTTTCCAATGGTTCTCTAACTAAGGTCAGCTCATGATGAAAATCCTGAAACCAATCAAATCCCTACAAACCAACACAAATATATTGATTGGTGGTGAACAGCAGTGGAATCCAGGATGCAAATTTCATCCCATTTGGGACTCACCGACTGGATGCACTTGCATTCCCCGGTGAGACAGTGATGCTGCTCCCAACGAGGCTCGTACACAAAAATCATAGTCTCAAACGCCAAATAGAACGAAATTCACATCCTGGATTCCACTGCTAGTCACCATCAATTAACTGACTTCAACTAACATAACCGGGCATCGACGAAGCATCTAAACAAGAAGCCGATATATCAACCTCAGTCCGAACACTTCGGTTCAATCAGTCAACGGGATAATCCAACTCGAATTAAACAACACATTTATATAAATTTATACATAAATTTCTCCTCACTAAGCTTATCATCAACATTTCTCCACTAATATTAAGGGTTTACAACCACTTTATGGAAACACCGAAGTAGCCATGAATGGTTAGCTGTCAGTTGTTAATTGTTTGAAGCTACTGATTGAAACTATTGTAGTCTATTTGACCTGAAGGTGGGACAGGAAGTGTACAGCTGCGTTTTCGACGTCATCCTATTTGTCAATCTGAGATAATATGTCCATGTTTTTAGTCAGATATCCAGTTTTCCAGCAAATTTAACATCATTTGAAGTTGTCTTTTCAATCGCTTACAGAAATCATTTTAAAGGAATGCAACCAGCTTGTTACGGTGACCTTGATTTGATGCCTGATGACGCCGTAGACAAATCACACCATTTTATCTTCCACTGACTGGCATCTATGCCTTCGACGAAAATGACCGCGGAGTTAGCTGGTAACTGCTTCGATAATGTGTCGGGCAGCAAACATTCATATATGTCACTTAACAGCAACATGGTGATTTCACATGATAACATTTGACACTGAAAAGCTCACTTAGCCTTTGAGGTGCAGATAGCAGTAAGGCAAGCCTGGTTAGTATCGCGGTATCGAGGGTATTCTTGACTGTGGTGGACTCAATCATCAGACAGACCATATTGACTGAGAAGACAAATAAATATACGTTAAACTGACTGAAAGACCCTAGAAAATCCGTGTGTGATTTATTATCTTGTGTCTGACAAAGTCGACCTTGGCGGCACGTTTGAAAGTTGCGCTGCCTATTCTTCTGTTTACTTATTGCATCGAATTTATCGTATTTCATTCTGTATTTATCAAAAGATGACGTCTGATTGTATCGTATGTTCTCCAGGGTTCATACAACTTTGAAAACCAAGTAACTTTCAAAGTTCTTAGAAAGGTATTACAAAGAATCATTATTATTATTGTTCCCTTGGGTTCCTAGTGGAACATAGGGCTTCAACTGCACGTCTCCACTTGTTTCTGTCTTCTGCTGTACTTTTTATGGTGAACTTTAAGTGAACACAAAACAGACCAAGGCGATGAAAATACTAATTCAGCCATTTGCTAGTACTAAGTAACATCTGCCGGAGAAACCAGCTGCAGAGGGCTCTTATGAGAATTTCAACGTAAATTTACTGCTATAAAACCTGTATGAAGACATACAGCACTCAGTTCAAGGGATCCGTATTTCCAACACTAGTGTCAGATTATCCAGTGCTTCTATATGCTTCAGGGACTTAGTGCACGTGTCACATAAACCATTTCCAACAGTCTACTGCAGCCTCACATCGATATCTGCGTACACTCGATACTAGAAATGAAATAAAGTGCTGGAAAGTGTGAGCAGTGATGAACATTGTCTTGAAGTGATATGGTGTATGATGACTAGCAGTGGGATCTAGGATGCTCATTACATCCTATTTGGGAGTCTTTAATCTGGATTCCTGAATTTCCATCAACTGATAATGGTCCCATTGAGATTCAAACTCAGTACCCTTCGTTTGAAACGCCAACATCTCAACGGAGACCTAATATTTCGGGCGAGAAATCAGTAGATATATAGAAAGGATTGGAAGTATATTGGTCATTTACGAAAATGACCGTTGCGTGTTATCAGGTGCCAGGCTATTTAGTGGAACATGGATAAAAAGTAGTGAGTTGGACGTGGGTTCAGAGGTGATAGTGAAGAGATTACATAGATGGAAGATAAAATATTATGAACAATGACGAATGTAGTTAAAAAACAGTAGCACAGAGCCGAATGCCATGCAGGTGTGCTCCAGAATTTCTTTGTTCCACTCTGAGCTTAAAAGAAAACCAGTAATGAAAACACAATAACAGACAGAAGACTGACAACATTTACTTGATTGGAGTGGATATAGCAGTAAAACTTGGGCACTATGGTAGTAAGTAATTCCCTATTAGTTAGTTTATTAGATAATATCACACAGACTATGAAACATTATTATTATTTACTGGATGACACAGTTTCGAACACAATTTATTACTGTTCATAATCATATCATCAATTGTGAACACACGACTTCGAAACTTGAGTTTCATGGTTTTGTTTATTCTCTCCTATTTGTCGTCGTTGAAGTGGTAGTAGAATTTTCCAGATATCTGGCTGGACAGTTGCTGAATCATTCCTATTACACGTATTCTCTCTCAGTTGATTCGATAAACAAAGCTTCTGTTATCAATCTCTCCCTCAACCCTGTGACATTAGATTTTAAAACTGTCATCCTGTCCCATCCCATCCTATGCTGTATGGTTGTGTGTAATTGCATGTGGTGAGTGCTATAGCTGAACTGTTCTCCAGATTTCTTATCTTACTCGGGTCAACTAATCTAGATTTTGCTGCTAGGGTTTTATGCTCCGCTAGTCTGATTGACTGCCCCCATTCTACTGCTTTGACCTATGTATTTGACCTGACAATCATTGAAGGCAGGGTATCAGATAAACTAAATTGTTTTGTCTAATTGTCTCCATTGGCAGGATCCTTCAACCGACAAAGCCTGTTTCTAAGTGAGTTTGTGGGGTGTTTGAATACCAGCCGCTTTTATTCCTGCCTTGTTAATAATAGTAATATTAATGACGACATGCATGTCAAACGTGCGCAAGATAATAGCAAAACACCAAAAATAAGGAATCTAAATCATTGGTAGTACTTCCTCCCATACAAGGAAGGAACCTCGAAAACCTTACGCAGAATTCTTAACAAGGCAGGAATAAAAGCGGTTGGCATTCAAACACCCCACAAACTCACTTACAAACACGCTTTGTCGGTTAAAGGATCAATCTAATACCCCGCCTGCAATGATTGTCAGGTCAAATACATAGGTCAAAGTAGTAGAATAGGCGCAGTCAGACTAGCGGAGCATAAGACTCTAGCAAAATCTAGATTAGTTGACCCGAATAAGATGAGAAATCTGGAGAATAGTTCAGTTATAGCACTACACCACATGCAATTACACACAACCATACAATAGAAAGGGATGGGATAAGATGACAGTTTTAAAATCTAATGTAACAGGGTGAATGGATGGAGAGATTGATAACGGAAGCTTTGATTATCGAATCATCTGGCTGAGAATACGTGTAATAGGAATGATTCAGCAACTGTCCAGCCAGATATCTGGAAAATTCTACTACCCTAACGATGACAAATGGGAGAGAACAAAGAAGACTATAAAACTCAAGTTTCGAAGTTGTGTGATTACAATTGATTGGTATGATTATGAACAGCAATAAATTGTGTTCGAAACTGTGTCATCCAGTGAATAATAATACTGTTTCACTGACTGTGTGATTCATCTAACAAACAAACCAATATGGAATTGATTGGAGTGAAGTATTTGTTAGTTACGCTTTTAAATCAAACTAGTTAAAAAAATAACTACTAATAACTTACTAAGTAAATTTCTAATAGTATATTTCAATCCACTCCGCAATGGTGCACTATTGTAGTTAATCTCCACTCTTAACTTCATCAACTGGGGTTGTATAATATTCACGCTAACTTTCGACCAAAGTAATATACCGCCAAGGATTAACACAACGAAACAAATGATCTGTAAAGACAGGAAAGAAATTTTTTAAAAATGTTGCTTTTCTCAAAAACGAAAAAGACAAACTCACTCTCACACTTAGAGAAAAATAGATGGTTTTCAGTCAGATTTCGTCACAAATCGACAGTATTTACACAATGGGCAAGAATTACAATGGCATTACGTAACAACTGGCTCATCCAATGTTGATTCGAATCTTCCTAAGTGTACACTTACGACTTGATAACCAGCAATCAGATTTTATGAATATCAGGTTGCAGAGGATGTATCGACCGACGAAGAAGGTAGATACAGCAGTGTGCATCTCGTTTCATAAAAAGACTTACCAGTTAGATTTAACTGCACCATGTTTGTGCGTTGAAGCATTTCCAACAGTCTGTTTCAGACTATTAACCACTTTCACTGGCTCCAAACTGAAGATCAAATGGCCGACCGACTGGCCAGAAAGAATTAGCAACAAGAAACTTTGATAATAAACCAACAAAGAGGTGATTGCTCAACAAACATGCAGAAGAAAACGGATGGGGCGCGGGCAAACGCTATTGGGGAGACCGCCGAATGACATCGCGCTCCAGGCAAACGCTCGAGTGGAATCCAAATGAGAAGCGACGTGTGGTTCATTGGTAAGAGGGTGACATGGAGGAGATCGTATGAGCTGGAGGAGGAGATAAGAGATTATGGGTAATGATGAAACAGCTGTCCAGTACTCCCAGGTGGTTTTCCAGTGGTCCTCTAACTGATATCAGCTCATGATGAAATCCTCCATGCAATCAAACAAAATCCCTACAAAACCAATGCTTGAAAATTAATCTGATGTTCACTAGCGACTGGCCCTATTCAGGCAGTGACCTGGGGTTCTAGTAAGAAGCCGTGACCAGTGAGGAACACTTTGAGAAGTGATCGCGCCATGTCATGAATTGGCAGAAGTTAGAATTCAAGGATCGGGTCCCAGTGGCTCAATGGTCTACGGGCTCGCCTTGTAACTAGAAGGTCCTGGGTTTGAACCCTGGCGGTGGGTGCGTACTGATGAAGATTCCGAAACTAGGAAGAAAAAGTTGGCTGTCCATAACTCCCAGGTTTTCCAGTGGTTCTTTAACTGATGTTAGCTCATGATGAATTCCTCCATGCAGTGATAGACCTATCTAAATAGGACAGCAGAAAATAGAGCAAAGTGGAGATGTGTCGCTGGAGCTCTATGTTCCACTTGGTACCCACGGGAACAAAATATTATTGTGCAATAATAATATTCACCATGTCCGTAAACTCAGTAATAAGCATTCTAAGCTCCAGAAAGTTAATAATTTAATGATGCATAAATGAAGTTGTGAAATCCAGGATCTGAATAGCAGGGCAGACCTTCATCAATCTGAAATCGGTATGGATATCTGCTGCAATCAGCACGAGACAAAAGACGTGAATCTTCAACAGTTCTGTCAGATCCAGGCTTACATACGATTGAGAGGCTTGACGCGTACATCGGTAAAAACATTCCCTACAGTCTACTGAGGACTTTCGTCAAATGGTGCATTCTCTCAGTACCAAAGATAAAAATGGCTGACCAGAAAAGAACTCTGCCAGGAGACCAGTCAAGATCTTATTGCCCGACAAAAATGCAGAAAGGAAGGCATATGGATTAAAAGCATGATACGAAGACCGTTAGTTGGCATCACACACCAGGTCCTAGAAAGGAACCTGAGTGGGAAACGACAAGCTGGTCATCCAAGAGTGACACGAAGTAAATCGTGTGAGGAGGAATCAGAGGCACCTGGGAAATTGTGCAACCAGCTTAAAAGGATTGAAGAGAAATGGGAGAAATGTAGCTGTCATATGGAAGTCGTGTTTTCCACTCAGAAGTAAACGGAATAATAACAAATGGAACTGTGAAAGTGTAGAGTTCACTAACTGTCTACTTTCCAGGATTTTAAATATTCCTACAGTAAAGGTTAAAGCAGAAAAAGTAAGAAGACAATATTGTTTCTACTCAGATCGCATCCGATTTTATTTTATTATATATATAACTTTACAAAGAAACGTAAAATATTGATCAACTATAAAACACAAAATGATTGAGCAAAGAATATCCTTTTCGATAATTTCCTCTTCTGGCTCTACAATTATATACATATATATGTTTATATACATAGAATTTTCTTGAATAGTAGTCAATAACAATATTAGTGTTTTCTAAATAATATCGATTTGTTAAGTAAGATCAAAATGGAATTACAGTTCATTAAAGATGCTTAAATTATAATAATAATATAATAGCAAATAGAATATCAACCAAAATTAGGAAAATTCCACAAAAATTCAAGATCATTGAAACCTAGATGACCAAGGTAAGGATAATGTCTGAACTAACTTCTTTTGGACGCACTGTTGGTACCAACAGTTCCTAAAAAGGCCTTATTTTTTACAAATGCAGTTCCTTGGGGACAACATCAGCGCGATACTAACACAGCGCCTTAGAAATGCGGTAAAGCGAAGAGCATTCCCTGCTGCCGAATTACTCTGTGTCTTCAAAACCACTCCTCTTTCGCGTTCGGAAGTAAAAGATAAAGTGCCCAATTTCGTCTCTTCTATGTGGGTGTATTTATCAGTTTAAATGCTCCTGTCGAGTGAGCCAGTTAGCTGCTTAGGCCGTACAATTAGGCGTGTTTCTCGTCGAATTTCTAAACATCACCCAGTAAAGTGGTTAAGCAAAGGATAAACGAAATCTATTCGCAGCTTTATTCTATCTCATCTCGTGGATGCAGAACACAAGATTGTTGTTAACGAGGTGGCTTTCAGTGTCGTTTACCGCATACCTACAAATCTCTGTTTTGCCTTAAGAGTTCGACTACTAAGTATTGATGAGGCTGTTGGAATCCACATCAAGAAACCTAATTTGTACATCGAAAAGAAGTTAGTTCAGACATTATCCTTACCTTGGCCATCCAAGTTTGAATGATCCTGAATTTTTGTGGAATTTTCCTAATTTTAGTTGATATTCTATTTGCTACTATATTTGTGTGTTTGTTATAATTTAAGCATCTCTAATGAACTGTAATTCCGTTGTGATCTTACTTAACAAATCGATATTATTTAAAAAACACCAATATTGTTATTGATTACTAATCTAGAATATTCTATGTATATAAACACAGTGTATAATTGTAGAGCCAGAAGAGGAAATTATCGAAGAGTATATTCTTTGTTCAATTATTTTGTGTCTTATAAATTTGAAGAATATTCATTGCTCGATGTTTTGCTGTTTTATAGATGTCTGAATGAATATTTTTGCTATTTTGAAATATTCATCAATCATGGTGGTAAGACTAAGAAAGCGAGAGAGCTCTTAATATAAGGACTAATAGTTTATAAGGTGTACTGGCTGCAAAGTCAGTTGGTCGGGTTTTAACTGACTCAGTGACGGATAATTGCTGTGCGAAAGCCTTTAGGCTTAGTAGTTCAAATCTCAACTGCTTACATTATATGCAGTAAAAGAGTATGAGGATCATTGGAAAGATTCATTTGGATGTCGTAGGTCATCTTGAATGCCTTCCTTTTGTCCATTGGGTAACCACTATCAATTAAACACAACCAAACAGAACTTCAGATGTTATTTATCTGTCCTTTACGACGATGGCAGATGTTCAGTGACACATCGGCTAACCTAGACGGTGTGACAACAAACAAAAACAACCAATCACGTCCAAGGTCGCCAGGAGAGATGACTAATAAACTCGTGGAGAAATCTGAAAAGCTCACTTCAACAAATTAAAGTATGCGCTGAAGATGTTGCCTAGTAGGGAGCAATGAAAGCTTCGCAGAGAAATAAACCATCCAGATGCTCAGGGAACACAACCACATCAAAATAGTTGAATTAGTCTAGAGGGGGTAGAGGAGGATTCGAACTCAGGACTCCCAGACTAGAAGTCGAATTTTACAACTCATAAGTCATTCATTGCCAGTCAAATAAACAAACAGAAATTATTATTAAATCGAAATAAGAATCACATTCACTTGTGAGTTAGGAAAATGCAAAGTAACAACTTACCCCAGTTACCACATTCAGTACTTTAAAGGCAATTCTCACTTTCGATCTTGGCATAATGTCGATTAATTAATTTATTTATTTATCTAGGGTGAAGAATGCAAAAACAACAGGCACATGTTTACATTGAGCTGATTAATGTTCAACATTTAAGAAATGAATATTGAATTTTAAAATGTTCTGCTTATTTATATTGGAGCTGTTTTTAAAGGAAACATGATACCTGTTATCTTTTTTCATGAGAATTGTATCTTAAAATTTCAGAATTTATGCTTAATTTTAAATATTTTTATAAATTATGCTTAATTATAATTTCTAATTATGTGATTTTTAGTGGTCTAAGTGTGCAAAACTAATATCTTGCCTTGTCCAATGTTCGTCAGTATAGCTTGTCTTCTCTGAAACAAGCAATAGTGTTGAAGGCTTCAACTGGCAGTGACTTCTAAATTACTTACTAGTCATTAGAGAGCTGTGCCAGGTTAGTAAAGAGACCCGTGTGTTTGCTGACTGGGTCCTCATTTCACTCCAGTCATAACGAATGTAATATCCAACGTGAATGCTCAATTTACACATTTCGAGAAGGGAATATCTCACCATAGCTTTCTCTGGAAACTGAAATTATTCAGTCGACAGCAATATGTGGTCTGCTTGGTAATAATAATGTAATGGTAATGAAGTACTACTGGTGATTGGTGTAACTGGTGTAAAACTACTCATCTACATTGATTGATTAGCACACAAATTCATGCAGTTAAGTCATTATCCAAGTTGTGCGTGTGAGTAACTGATGGCAATACTATCTGAGATAATCTTGGGTTGGTAGACTACTTTTAATGTAGCCGGTGCTCACTTGTGTAATTCTCGACTTCTCATTGAAATTAATTAACTATTGACAGTCAGTATGGAGAAAGTATATTGCACTAAATAACGCACTCTACTAGAACTCATATAGGCAGGTAAGAGCTTATGAAGAGCGGCCATCTGAAACTACGGAAAGCAGTGGTGTCTGTCAGGGATAGACAGATAGATAGATAGATATATAGATAGATAGATAGATAGATAGATAGACAGGTAGATAGATAGATAGATACGTTGATGCTCATTTAGTAAGTCATTTACAATCCGACGCATATTGTATAATGAACTTGGGGATTCGAATACTAATCTAGTGAAGTGTGAATTTAAGTTCCACTTAATTCACCAAAAAAAGGGGAAGAGACAAATATTTTTTACCAGTTCAGGAAAAACGGGCACCGTTCACGGCTGGATGTGCACAGATTGATTTAGTTTTTGACCAATTTAAGCGTCACACTTATGATCCCATCTGAAGTCGAACTCAGGACCTATGAGGTGAGGCCGCTGACAATTCAGGCACCGGGATGGAATCCAATGGTCCATGAATTCTCACTTCTTTCACTTCGAGAAATATAATGCCACCTCAAGTTGATGTTGTTGGCAAGCATATGTACTTACATCCAACTTGATGGTATTGCCCTGTGAATGTTCTTCTTCTATACACGCTTCTTCAAAGTAACTCGCCTTCTCGCCTACTTAGAAAGACACCCAGAAATGTAGTTTACTATCCTGCTTCTCTTCACAAGTGAAAGTAAGCGAAGTGGGTGGATGTTATTGGATTTCAGCAAAAATTCGTCAATGTTTGCATTCCCATCAGCTAAGATAAATGTATCATCGACATATCGGTAATACATATCAAACTCCTTGATGATGTCTTTCGATTTCTCGTTTTCAAGTTTTGCGAGGAATAAGCCAGCTAATATTGGGCCTAATGGTGAGCCCATAGTTATTCCATCTACTTGTCGGCAGTATGAATTATTGAAAACAAAATGAACATTCATTGTGCATTTAAGAAGTAATTCTTTGAGGCTTCACAAATCTACAGCCTCGTAGAGCCTTAAGTTCAAGATTTCAAGTCAAGAAGGTGACAAGCTTCCCTTCAATAACCAAGGCATAATCTCATGGTCTTACAGAATAACAATCACCTAATTGTAGGATTCCGTATAACCCTCTTTATAATCTATCAGTTTACCCTCTCAGTAATTACATGGTATTTGTAGTGTCCTTAAGCCGACAAAAATTATTTTTGGGAAAGTTAGCTGATTTAAACGCTACCCTGTTTGCAGCCTCACTGAGAATCCTACGTAAGGCATCTGACGTTCCTTCTTTACATGGCGGTGCTAAAGAAGGTTTGAGTTCTATATTGGTTTAGCCATTTATATTATTATTCTTAGTTTTCCTATGGTTCTTTATATATTTCTGAATAAATTCTAGGTGGGTAGTTAGTGATTAGTTAGTAATGTTTTCTCTCCTATTTGTTTGATTTCGTTATTGAAATCTTCTGGCTTACTAGTCAGGCTCTTAGCCCGATTATATAGGCATTCAACTAAACCTATCTTTACCAACGACTCTGGATGGGATGTGTTAAGGCCTAAGTATTTATAAGAGTGAATCGGTTTTCTCTAAATGCTAGTATTCATCTAACCCACCATCTTGTTTCCGTTTTATTTTACAGTCTAGTATGGCCTACTCAACCTGTTCATTTCCTAACAAAGAAGGGAATTGCATTCCGTCTACTGTTGAGTTTATATGTGTTTGCAGAACTGGGGGATACGTCCAGATTTCAACACAGCAAATGTGTCATCCAAATATCTCTACCATAGCCTACTAGCAGGGCTAAACGTTCTAAACGCTTTATGTTCCCAACTATCCATAAATATGTTTACTACTATTGTGGATATTGGTGACTTCGAAATTTAAAAACAGTAGAGGTTAGACATAACTCAGCACCTAATGTTATTTAATTACCTGAGAGCTAAGTCCTAATTTTGAGTTCAGGATAAATGTTCAGCTCATTCTTACTGTTTCTAGAGCTTTAATAATGGAGATATTAGTCATATAAACTGGTGATGTGAAAACTAATCATTTTTTCACCTAATTTTTCCAATTGAATTTCCACAAATTAGGCTGGGTGGGATGAGGTGAGAGTATTATTATTATATTATTATATCCTTTAGTTCCTAGAGGAACACAGGGCTTCAGCCAAGCGTCTCCAGTGCGTTCGGTTCTCTGCCAACGTTTTCACCTGGCTCCAAGTCTGCCCACAAGCTTTCTTCTCCTCTTCACATGACCTCCTCCAAGTCACCCTCACACTGACGACCAACTCGCCGCTTCCCTTTCGGGTTCCACTCGAGGGCTTGTCTAGTGATGTCACTTGATTGTTTGTTTCCTCATAGTATGGCCGATCCATCTCCATTTCTTCCTGTCTATTTGTTTCACAATCCGTTCCTGCTGGGTTGGTTCACTCCCAGAGATCTCTGTTGCTGATGTTTTCTGGCCATCTGATCTTGAGAACTGAGTGAAGACAGCTGTTAATGAAGGTCTGTAGTTTGTTTGAGATGCTCTTTATGACGCGCCAAGTCTCTGATTCATATGGTAGCACTGACTTCACATTGGAGTTGAAAATCCGGATCTTATTTTTGACGCTGAATGCTGTTGACCTCCACACAGACTTGAGAGTAATGGAAGCTTGCCTTACTTTCTCGATTCTCGCGCTTTGATATCGTCGTCATTTCCGCCTGTAGTTGGAACGATGCTTCCCAGGTAAGTAAAGGAGGTGAGAGAGTAATATAGTTAGGTGGAGATAGAGAGAGGTTAGTCACTGAATCTCTATTTATCGAATCAACACCAAATACGTGCATTCGAAATGATCTAACATCAATGCCGGAGATATGCGAAACTCCGATAAACAACAACGGTGAGAAATAGTGAGCAGAGGAATATAAAGCAAATAATGAAGCCTTACGAACAAACTGTTGTGATTATGAATGATAGATTATGCTCGAAAAGTCATCCAGTTATTTCATACTGCATCACTGTGTGTCATGTCAGAAACGCTTATCTAATATGGAAATACACTGTGCCACATTCTCCAAGTTCTATATTAATATTAATATCACGACAAAGTCAAAATATAAATTTCTTATAGCACAAAACACCATAAAAGTTCATCCTTTCCTACTCACTGGAGGGAAGACTGCCTAAAATCAATCAAATTCTGCCAGGTCAGCTATCAACAAAGGTGCTGTTTTGTAGAGCCAGGAGTCTGAGTTCAGCTGGTGCACAAGGCAGTGAACAAAGGCTACTTGTAAAACGTCAGAAATAAAGTGGTCAGCCCCCCACTTAGTGCCATCCATAAATATAGCATTATAATGACCATGAAGAAGTGAAGAATTTAGTCCCTTTGATTTCATAAGTAATGATGTTACGAGGCTGATAAATAAAAGATGAAGTACAGCACTAACCAGGGAGTATCCTGAAGTGAAACTAATCTTACTGCTTCAAAACTTCTGTTCGCTGGCGTAATCGAAATCAAATGCCTCATGTATATATATATATACATTAGCCCGGAATCTGTATATCAATCCACATTTTTCCACAGCAGCAGTTATATTGGGAGGACAAGAAAAATGGCTCATGTCAGATTCATTGAATATGTACCAAATAGACATTTGTAAAAAATTATATTTGTAATATCTCAGCGATATTGAAATGAGTAATTCCAACGTTTCGTTCGGCAATCTGGTCCGAACTTCTTCAGGGAAATTAATCAAAATTAACATAACAGAGGTTTTATATATAAAAGGCACATCTTTTGTTTTTAAAAACTTTGTCCAATCATGATTCATAAACACAAGTATTAACAAGTATAATAAACAAAATTGTATGAGCTGTGATCAAAATTTGACCTCGGACTTACAAATATTGGTCTACCTTTGTTAAACACTTTAAGCAGAGTGTGCATGCGTGTGTGTGTAAACAGTTGTAAAACATTTCTTAACGTCTCCATAAGAAGATATGGACAGTCCGCTCTTAGCGGACGTCTTCATGGCTAGCTTAGAGAATGACCCACTAAAGGAAACCATCGGTAGTTTGTCTATGTATAAAAGATATATAGATGACACTTTCATTGTATGTGACGAAAACTCTTCAACTGCTGAACTTCTTGGAATATTTAATGGTTTTCACCCATCTTTGCTTTTCACGGTCGAAGGAGAGTC